GCTAGCTTGGAGGCAATACTGGTTTTTAAAAGACCCATTTTGCTACCCAGATTCAATGTTTTTGACATTAAAACTGCATTAAAAGATAAAAAAATGTTATGTAAGTATACATATATGCATATTGTTTTCTGTAGAAGAAATACATGAAATATATTCTTATAATATTTGATATGGAAATTAAAAAAAAACATCTTTTTTTAAAAATGTAAAGAGGTTTTCTTAAATTAGAAAGATATCTTTTTAAAGCTGTTAAAGAAATATCTTACTTTAAGAAATCTCCCCGCTTAGAGATATTTTTTCTAAAGAGAGAGAGAGAGATTAAAAAAATTTAAAGTTAAAAAAAGATATCTTTTCATGTAAAGTAAATTCATCTTAGTTAAAGAATAACCAGAAAGCAAAGGGATACTCACTTTTATTGAAAGAAATTAAACTTTAAAGATGCTTTTTCTATCGAATAAATAGTATAATGTTTTGCCACATGGTACATTTAATAAAATTTGTTTACTGTAATGTATAATAATAAATTCAGTATCCAATACAGTAAAACTCGTTTAGAACTAACACGAATATAGTGAATTCATAGAATTAGCAAAGTCATCTGGGTCCCCAGCTATATATATTTAATAAATTTTTTATATGGTTATAACGAATTACGGATACAGTGAAGTAATTTCATAGGTCCCAGTGACTTCGTTATAACCGAGTCTTGGTGTATTGTAGCTGTTGTATTTTTTTGTTTACTCTGCTTTCAATTTGCCATTTTCATGTGTGTTATCGTGTACACTTTAAAAACAAAATTAAAATGATGTTTACTTTAATGCTATTGATGCGATAAAACTTATTTAAGATTTTTATGTTTGTACTTTAAGATCCAGATGAAGGTCACATCTTGTTTGCTTGTTAAAGGACACATGAACCAGTGCGCTTGCGCAGTTGCAGTTAGGGCGGCATCAGATATATTTGTAATAGACAGATGTCCAAAACATCCCCAAGAATATTAGGATTCCAAAGCTGTGTTGAGGACATTTTACATGTCATTAAAAATACCAATGATGAACATCAATATGAGGTATTTTAATTAAGACAACTTCAAGAGTACTGTGCTACAAAAATTTTCGAGAAGAAGTGGTGTAAATCAAATATGGATACTTATAAATTTTCAGGAACTTTTGAAAAATTGGAAATCACAAAATTTTACCAAAATAAATAATTTGAAAACTAACGACTCTTCAACATTAAACACAACCGATCCCTACAATAAATTAAAGTCCAGGCTTTTTGACATGATTGACAGCTGCTTTTTTAATAAAAATGGAACTAATAAATTTACCTACCTTGTCATAAGTCATTTACAAAATTATTTTGTCAAAAACATTTTGTTTGTACAAACAAGAACTCTGAAGTTGACATAAAAAATGCTCGAGTTTCTGATTGACAAAATCGATGTGGTTTTTGGAGACCAGTTCTTTCAATAATCTATTGAAATTCCTATGGGTACCATTTGCCCCTGTTGTTAAAAGACCTAGTTTTGTATTCATATGAAGAGAAATTTGTCCAAAATCTTAACTTAAAAACAAAACATTTGCTGTTATTCAACTCACATTTAAATATCACATGTATTGTCAATTAACAATGGTTATTTCCATTCTTATGTCGATACGATATATCCCGGTGAGCTTGAAATAAAAGATACCTTTGAGTTTGACACATCTGTTTCACATTTGGATATATTACTTGAAAAAAACGTAAAGAGTCATTTTACAATAAGCTATATGATAATCATTATGACTTTAATTTTTCAATCGTCAACTTTCCTTCTTTATGAAGCAGTATACCTTGATCATCTGCATATGGAGTTAATATCTCTCAGTTGATTCGCTAAGCAAAAGCATGCTCTACGTATGTACAATTTTAAGGTTGATACAAAGACCTTCATTGCATCAACCGTAGAACACGAAATGATGACTTTAAACCAATACATTTCATCAATGAGTCAAATGCTGACTGACGTTTTTCATATTATTTGTTAGTACACACAGAATTGACGACAGATTTTTCAGTTATTTCCCGATCATGAAAAGGAGCACACGGCGAGTGTGATCGGTCGGCAGGGGATGCTACTCCTCCATGGCCCCTGGTCCTACCTCTGAAGTTTTGGAGGTCCGTGTTTGCTGTGCTCCTATTTTGTATTGTTTTATCATGTTATCTCCATATCCTCCATATATCATTGGTAGAATAAAGTAAATAATAAATGTGAACTAAAAGTTGTGACGCCTGAACGAAATTAATTCTCCAATGTATTCAAGTTGTAAAGTCTTTCATTGTTATTTTTTAGATTCATTTTCCCTCCAAAACATATATGACAGTACGATTTAGTACAATGGGAGATGCAGATACACTCGAATTAAATGTATATCCGTCTCCAGCTGACGAAAACAGGTCTGAAGGTCTATGTGGTACGGTTGGAATTGGGGCATTAAGAACGCCAGCCAAGGAGAAATCAGCTGTATCTATAGACACATTTACATCCTCTTGGTTGTAAGTTTGAGATAGTCATTTTCATTAATTTCGAGACATAATAAAATTGGTTGATTTCTTTATGAATGAAAAATATTAACATCATAACATAGTTTTTAATTAGCCAAACAGGGAATAACGAATAAATCAATTTATCCCGCTTCAGACAAATTTGTCGATTACTGATTGGATAAAAGCTAATCACATGACGCCCTGAAATTTTCCGTATTACGTCTCCGTTTGCATATTATATCTCCGTCTAGGCGTAATATGAAAATCGGGCACGCGATTCCGTTCGAAGCGTTGTTATTGTAAATAAAAATGGCGGCTAAGAAACGGTTTACGTAGGTAGTTTAGTCAAATTTCTTGTTACCGTAATGATATTTTATGTTGATTGTTATTGGATTAAAACTTAATATTTTCATAATATGCGCAAATATTTTTTTTAAATCGAAAAAGGTCTTCAGCGGGATAAATTCGTTACACAGTCAGTTAGTGACCTAATACGGATTCATACAGGGTGTGAAATGGAAATCCGATGGGACTCGGCTTCGCCTTTCGCCCAATACGGATTTCCATTTCACACCCTGTATGAATCCGTATTAGGTCACTAATTGACTGTGTAACTAATAGTATTATGGTACAGGTAAATGACACTTTACAACAGTCTAGTGCCAACATATCATCGCGAATGTGCATATGTATGTGTGTGTGTTAGTGTGTTAGTGTGTTCGTTACCTTGTGGGCAAGATTGACAGAGAACCTTTGCATTAACCATTCTCAGCGTTTACATACTTGTGTGGCAGTATAAAAGGACGAAGCCTATTAATTTTCAAGTTCAGTGATGAAATATTTCTTCAGATATCGCATTTTCACTGTCTCGAAACCCTGACATTTTATGTACGAGTTGACAATAATCATTATCGCTAGGGAACCAGTTTAAAAGCCGTGTCGAGTCGGTGGGAACCAGATTAAAAGAATTTGATGAACGTCGCGGTTTCATTACCAAATTCCAACAGGTGTCTGGGAATTTGGGTGCACGTTAAATTGAAAGTGTGTGTGTTGGGGGGGGGGGGGGGGAGCTAAACCAACAAAAAAGGTAAACCCCAATTTTCAATGTATAGAAATTGTCTATATTTGCAAAAAAGTGGGAGGCTAAGCACCCCCCCCCCGGTTCCGAGCCTATGCCACAAGTTCAAATAAACTCTCGATGTACATTGTTATTTTTCATTACGAAAAAAATGCATATTGCCTGGAACTGTAAAATATACTAATTAGGTAGGTAAATAATTAAAATTACCGAAACTTGTACATGTAGCATACGTGATATGTTTCTACTAGGTAGAAGGGAAACTGCCCAATTACGTATACACATTATGCCCCCAACCCCCTCCCGACTTAAATGCTGTGCAATTTCATTTTTGTTAAAAATAGACACCCCCACCCCCTATAATTTTGTTAAAGAAATAAATAGAGCTGAAAAACAATTTAATACCTTATATTAAACTTTACTACCCAAAATTAGGTATCAATGTTATGCCCCCCCCCCCCCCCCCCAACCAAGACGCTTTGCACTTTGCATTTTGTAAAAAGAAAAATTGGATCAACAACAACACTCTTCTAATTATTTTTTCAAAAGTAAGGGAGTTGATCCTAATGTTGTGGGTTTGAACATACTGTGGGGCGTGGAGACTGGTCCTTCGAATGAGACCATGTAAACCAATTGCAAGGGCCCATGTCCCAATAGATGCTGGCACAAAAAGATCCCTCACTGCTCAATGGCCGTCAGTGCCTATAATAAGAAAAAAAGTGCAGTTCTTCACGGGCAAGCCTTCATATAAGCAAAATATTCATGAGAGGGAAATTAAAGAAGATACGTTGTAATATCAATCTTTAACATGTTAACGTCCCTCTAGAGAATTTATCTCTCATGAGATATTGCCTTTACCAGTGATGTGTCTGTCGCGGGGGGATGCTCCGCTTAGCGGTGCCCTTTTTTTTCTCAGTACTGTAATGTCATTATGAGTCTAGAATCAAATCACAAACATTATTCGTGTAGCAACTGGAATCTAAACAGGAACGATTTATTTAATATCCTATACAAGTGGTTTACGTCCTAATTTTCATTATGCTACTGCATCGTCACTTATAAAGTCATCGGCTTTAGTATAGTTCTGCATCAGACTTAATGTGAAATACTCATTCAAAGTAAATATAAATGTAATTCACTTACAGTTATCCAGTTATCGTTTTTCCAATTTTAACATTTGCTCAGAATAAATGTGGATGAAAAAATATGTATGAAAAGAATTTTGACCTTTTACATGTTCTTTAAATTTAACGAATGATCTGAATGTAATGAAATTCAATTTTTTCCCAAAAGATGCTTATTTTTCAAAATTGCCGAGGTGCTTTATCCAGAAGATATTTGTCCCATGTGTGAACGGAGATGGCAACTGCTTCTATAGGGCCCTCTTTAAAGCATTTTTGGTTATGAAAAAAGGCACATCGAAATTGTAAAAAAAAATCAAAAAAGTACGGCAAGACGTGTTCTCATCTAACAAGTGTACAATATGTTGTGTAGACATCCGTATCGGACAGATAACTTGTACCAGGAAATCTAATCAATTTTATGCAGAACGAAATTATTGTTCTTTGAGTCATTTATTCGCAGCGACAAATGCCCTGAATCATACAGTATGTAGTTTTTAACATTTTGTAAAGCTATTTTGAGGTAAAAAGGTAATATAAGTCAAGGTTACCCAATCTACATCACAAGGTCACACACTGAAAATACAAAACACAAATCATTTTGTGGTTTGTCTCCTAATATTACGTTCTGAATTCAAAGAAATGAAGGAACCTGCCCTTAAAAAATCAAAACGTTGCATTGATTCAGATGATACCCTGGAAATCTCCATGAACTCGCAGAATGAAAGAACGGATATTCAATCTGATGACAATGAAATAATTCAGACAACAAAACATGATGAAGATAGATCATCCTTTGACGATTTGGATTTTTCTGACCTTGGTAAAATTAACACACTATCCTCAGCTAAAAAGATAAGTTATATTCAGAATCAACCCTTGCCAGACCATGTCTCCAGGTTACCTTAAACATGTTGTGCTCAAACAACGAATACGGATGGACGCAAAGAGAGTTTATTATTCCCATTTCCTTGAATGAATCTGATTTAAGGTTGAACTTCAGGAAACTCTTAAATGGTGGTCTGTATCATGTTTCCTCGGTCATCAGTTTTCCAACATTTCTTAAACAACCTTTTACTGCGTATAAGAAAGTCATTGGGAAAGTATCTGCACTTTTAAAGAATACCACAAGAGTGTCAAATCTGTTTATCACACAACCAAATGAAATTTGAAGTACCATCTTTGTCTCCTCCTTATAAAATCAGTCAGCAAAATCATGCATAGAATCAACACAACATAAAGTTGCTTGAGAAAATGGTAGATGCGATTATTTTTTGTGGAAAACACACAGCTATACCACAAGTAGAGAAAATGATGGGTTGTATATTTTTTTAAGACAGAAACTAGTTGGACTTTGATATAAGACAAGCTTGGTGGGTTGAGTGTGTCACATATGCTTTAATGTGTTCTACACTATGAACAAGTTCGTCATCAAGTGTCTGCAACACATTCTCAATAAGAACCTTGATGAATGTACCAGTGAATACGTGTCTTGGGATAGACAAACAAAAGTGACCGCAAAGGGGCTATTGGCTTCGATTGCGTCCTTTCTGTGTTGATAACATCCGTGTTTGTAAGGTGTTTCCTAGAAACAAAAAGTCCTTGCCTCTAAAACTTCAGAAAAGAGATTAAAACTCCAACGATTTGCTCCAATCAGTAACAAAAAGAAAATTTCTCCACAAGTAATTCAAGAGATTGATATCGTTCTGTCGTAGTCATACCGTTTTAGTACTTTTTCCTCAATGAATTAGAAACGAGGTTTCAGAAAGAAGATCTGATGGCGTATTCAAAATATCTTTCACACGAAGAATTGTCCAAACTTGCATCGGAATTAAATTTTGGGGAAGAAACCTGTTTTGTTTTTCTACAAAGTGACCTGTAGAAAGAACTCAGAGATCGGACACTTTATTACGTTAACAAGAGCAAACAAATTTCAAACAAGCATTTCAATCTGCTCAATTATTTTAACTTTTTAGATGGGGACGTTTTCCGAAAGTTAAAAAACATAAAGCATAGTGCAGTGGTTGCAAAAAGCGTTTCTGTTGCAAAATAAAGGAATAAAAAAAACTGTTATTTTAACAAACTTGTGTTAGCGTGTGAGGAATTTGGCGAGTTTCGGGAGAGCTTTGTCATCGCGAATAATTCTCGCCGTGAACTGGTCCTTTAAATCTCTGCGTTCATTAACAACAGATCCATAATAAGCTTGTTCGCGAAAATTCATCGTCGGAAACTAGCCTCCCCACCTCCCCGGTAAATTGCGAAATAAAGTCTTCGCGAATCAAAGCTGGTTATCCAAAATAGTTATTAAATTTGTATTGTTGTATCTACGTTTCCCCCTTGCTCAGTGCATCTTATTGTATAATGATTGAGCCAACGTTTGCCCGTTGCCCGGCCAGTAAATGATAAGGCATAAAAATGTGTGTTCAGTGGCAAAGTATATGTATGGTACATGTACCAATATGTTGTTTTACTGTACAGTTAAAGGGACAAAGTCGTTTACTACATTCTGCATTTAATTTCATGATTTTGGGTCTTTGGTTTTATATATTGTTAGGCCGATCTTGGCTCTCTGGAATGCAATCTTATGCAATGCAAGCATTGACAGTTTGTGATAGTAAACATGTACATATTAATAATTTTGTGTTGTGATTAAAGTATAGTGAACACTTTTGAAAGTATTTTTAGAAAAAATAAGAAAATTTAAATTATATAATTATTTCCTTATTAAAATAAAAAGGAACTCGGATTTAACTGTTGCAAGATCATTGTCTCGTATGGGTTATTGTGTGTATTTCTACACTTCATTGTCTCATGTAAGTGTTTGATAAGGAGAATTTTGCATCAGCCAACAAAACAATGCACACAAATTTGCGATTATCAATAATATATGATTAGTGTTTTATTATACCCCCGCTTGAAAAGTGGGAGGGTCATAGTGATGGGATTTCCGTCCGTCCGTCCGTCCGTCTGTTACGCTATATCTCTTATCTGCAACTCCTCTTATACTACTGAGTGAAATTTAATGAAACTTTCAGAGAATCTTTATTACATATTGCCATTGTGTACCTCCTATTTTACTTTTTTATTCGACACATATTTAAGGTTTCCCATAACAAAACATGGACATTGCCATTATATCATTACCTATAACGTCACATAGAAGCTTCTGGATAACATTTGATAGGACGAGTTATTCCTCTTTACACATTACCGTAAAACAATATTTATATAGCAACACATGGACATTATGGGAGGCGGGGTTTCATTTAGTGAGCTCATTGCTCAAAGTACTTCTAGTTTTATTTTAAAATTAATAAAATTTCCTTGTCTTTTGTTATTTGTATAGTAAACATGAAATTTTTTTTCCGAATTTGTATAAAATAATAGATATGCCCTTTCCAGAACGATAGATTTTACCTGCTAGTTTGCCATAAGAATCTAGGAAGGGACTCGTCTAAAACCTTTTCCTAAACTTTCGTACAACATATACGCTAAAACAGACTAAACAAGACCACTGAAATACATGTATATGAAGTCGAACTCAACTTATCAGTCGCTTGGCTTATACACTTTGGATTGCATCTGCTTTTTAGCTCACCTGAGCCAAAGGCTCATGTGAGCTTTTCTGATCATAATTTGTCCGTTGTCTGTCCTCGTTGTTGTCGTTGTCGTAGTTGTTGTTAACTTTTTACATTTTCATCTTCTTCTCAAAAACCACTGGGCCAATTTCAACCAAACTTGCTACAAAGTATCCTTGGGTAAAGGGGATTTAAGTTTGTTTAAATGAAGGGCCACGCTTTTTTCCAAGGGGAGATAATTATGAATAAGAGAAAAATTAATGGCATTTTTAAAAAATCTTCTTGTCAAGAACGACTGGGCAAAGAAAGATGAAACTCATGTTGACTCATCCTCAGATAGTGTAGAATCAAGTTTGTTCTAATCATGATCCCTGGGGGTAGGGTGGGGCCAGAATGGCGGTTCAAATTTTTATATAGGAGTATATAGGAAAAATCTTTAAAAATCTTCTTCTCAAGAACCACAGGGCCAGGAAAGATGAAACTCATGTTGAGTCATCCTCAGATGGTGTAGATTCAAGTTTGTTCAAATCATGACCTCTGGAGGTAGGGTTGGGGCCAATATGGCCGATCAAAGTTTAGGAATATATAGGAAAAATCTGTAAAAATCTTCTTCTCAAGAACCATTGAGACAGGAAAAATGAAACTCATGTGGAATTATCCTCAGGTAGTGTAGATTCAAGTTTGTTCAAATCATGACCCCTGGGGGTAGGGTGGGGCCAAAATGGCCACCAAAAATTCTTATAGGAATATATAGGGAAACGTTTTAAAATCTTCTTTTCAAGTACTTCAAAGGCATGATTAGTAATATTTATGTAGAATTATCCTCAGGTAGTGAAGATTTTAGTTCGTCCAAATCATGATATGTGCTTTTTCCTAGCTGATGTGCTCAGGTGAGCACTGTGGCCCCTGGGCCTCTTTTTATGACGTCAGCTGATTAAATCCAACTTTGGGCAAACCAGCATTGTTTAAGTACTTGGTCTGGCTAATTTTGTTATTTTTTTTAGTTTTGCATTTCAAGGGAAATTATTATTCTACCAAAAATAAATAAATAAGATGAAAATCACTAACATCAAAATTTATTCAATATCATCAATTAAACCTAAAGGAACAAACAAAACAATGTTTTCCATGTTCAGTTTTGGAACATAATCTTTTAAGTGGTAATTTTCTCAATGCTAATAAAGTAATGCATCCATATGAATTTTCAGCTTGTATACATGTGTACCAAAAGTACTTTGTGACATGTACATGTATTTGAAATTGATTAAGGCAGACAGAATAGGGCCATACTGATCGTTGCAGATTTAAGGCGCATTTACAATTTTAGAAAAGAATTAAAAGTAATCATTTTTAACTTTCCAATACAATTATTGTGTAATTTTTTAGAGTTCCTGACGAGGACAACATGCTCAAAATGGATATTAAACAGTTGCAATCCTTTCCAAGGACAAAGAATTCTAGAGATCTTTGTATTTGTAAGCCAACAAAAAAAAGCGTCAAAGGTGATATTATTGATACCCTTACGTGCACAAATGAAGACAAAGAATTAATAACATGTGAGAAGGACAATCGAAAACCAGTACAAAAGGATATTTGTTATGAAAGACACAGCAGAAGGAAACGGTCTATAGATCGCTTATTTACGTATATACCAAACAATTATGTTCACCCCAAAAGGAAACGAACAAAGGTATGGGCATTAAAATCAAGATTTCTTATTTCTTTTTTTAAATATAATATTTGAGTTGTATTTGAGTGGTGTTTCATACTATTTCTATTTTAGAGAGCAGTTACTGTTGCAATGACTGAACCTGAAGCAAGGTTATGGTGCGAGAATTACTTGAATAATTCCCCTGGATTTGTAGCATGCAAAAGTGTACCTAACATGAACACTAAACAATCAGTGGAAATTTGTGTTTTGGATATTCTGGTATTCTTCATTGAAATTCGCTATTCGGATCAATAATTCTTATCTAATTTATGGGAATTGCATGTAAATAGTATAGATCACTTTTAGAAAAAAAAATCTTGGTATAGAGAATTGTTGAACCAAAACATAGGTAACCTTCATAGCTGAAATTTTTATCCGTGTACTTTCAGGCTACGAATTCAACATTATTTGCTAGCGCACCACGAGAAAGTCTGAAGACATCTTGTTTAAAGGAACTCGATCAAAATGAAACTCTTAGAAACACTTCTGAAAATGGAGAAAATCTCGCAGAAAAGATTTTCTCCTTAGCGTGTCCAAATGATTGCAGCGACAATGGTATTTGTAGAAATGGTAAGCGTTTTTAAACGAAAATGAACAATGCCTCTAATTTATAATCTAGTTGCACAGCAAATAGAAAATCTACCAAATATAACTTTAAAGTATTGTTCTTAATAGGAAAACTCCTAAAAAATGGCATCCTGATATACCTTAAAATCAGAAAAGGCTTTATTCAACGATATAAACGTCCATACTTTATATATTTATTAATTGTGACAAGACCTTTCAAAGGGTATAATTATTTTATATCTTTTTTGACATTAGAGTTTTACCCATTTTTAAACAAACATTAACCTCGGCCATAACTGTTGAATAGATACCATTAGGGATTTTTATATTTCGAGGTGTATGTAACAAGACCTTTCTTTAAATACCAACACTTTAGACATTTTGACCACGAATTTTGAAGTTTCTCTTGTATCTGAGAAATTTCAATCCTCACCATTAGCTACCATACTGGACATCAGTGTTACATGTACATAAGTACATCTTGTTTCAAACCGCTTTATACTTTACGTTGAAAAAGAACATTCTAGCTGCAGCCAATGAGCATTTTCAAAAATTGCTAACCAATTTTAGGAACAATTAGAAAATGTCTCAAAAAATATTGAATACGAATCAATCTTTATCCTAGTGTACTATATTTGCATGCCAATGAAGTACATACTTAACTTTAAAGTGATATATGGCGTATTTTTGAGAAGATAAGAATAACTAAAGTAAAAAATATCTTTCTATTTGTTTTGTTACCTTATAATTATAAAGATAGGACTTTCCTGTTAATAACACAATTTAAATCAATCGCGTTTCATAGATATCACAGATTTAAAACAATGAAATACGACTCTGAAATAAATATCAGACACAGTTTAATTTTAAGTCAACTCAGTACATGTAATAAAAACTGGGAGATATTTAAGTTCAAAATAGGTGAAAATTTTAAGAAATCTGTGAAACACAATTCATCAAAACTTGTACTAGTGTGGAAAAAATGTTCTATGAATTAAATTTTGTATTTTTCTAATCGGAAACAGGTACCTGTAATTGCAGTGAAGGATTTGGAGCCGGAGATTGTTCCATCAATCTTAATGATCCACCGGTGGTGTTTGCCGTCAACTACGAAACCGGAGGACTATGTGATAAGTTATTTTGCAAAGTTGCTGTAGTTGAGGGAGATCAGTTTTTAAATAGACCGGAACTGACATGCAAAATGAAACGTTTTGAGGTACATGTATATTATTTCTTCAAAACTTAGCTATATCAGAAAAACATGTAGTTTCTATAAATTCGCATAAGAATGAAAAGCAAAGACAGATTTCTTATAGTGAAAAAACACAATGTATCATTCAGCATAATTTTAAATTATTTTTTTTTATTAATTATAAAAATAAGTACGAAGGTTGACAGAAAAGGTTGCTGACACAATTATTCATTTATTGTGGTGTTTGAGGAATGACTTATGCCTTTTAAAAATCTTCTTTTTAAATAACATACTGTATCATGTGATTATGATTATATTAATTAATATCTTTAAATTAAGTTGTTTACATTTGTAACTGTTCTTTAGTTAAGAAACTCATGCACGTGCATGTTCAATAAAAGAACGCAAATTTTACTGCAATTAGGTATAAATAATTGTAGGAATATCTCTATAAATAACATGATTAAATACACATGAGGCAAATTTTGTCATTTGTTCTATTGTTTAAAATTCTACCATATAATAAAAGATTTGATAATCAATTATTTATTTACTACTGACATTTCTCCAATTGATATATTATATACACTTTACATGTATAATTTATGTACCTGAATAAGTTTAGATATACCGGTGTGTTCTAGAGAATTCAATCATTTTTTTTTATTTTCATTGATAATAGATGAATATGAATGGCACAGCCTGGGAGTTAGAAACAACATTAATTCCTGGAGATCACAACACAATCGGTGATATTCGATGTAAATTTCCTCACTCTATTTCCAAAAGATCGGTTTCAAAGACAGCTTTCGTCACTGGATACCACGTGTCTGTCAGTAACAACAAAAGAAATTTCAGCGATGTCCACCCAATATATATCTTGGATTCCACTTGTCAAGACACTGTTAACGTTTCTGGTCAACTTCGGTTTGCTTTGAAGGTTAAACAATTTTCCACACTCTACAAACCGTAGGACAATGCCCCTTATTTCATACTACTTGTTATATGTATTTAAATCATTCAGAAGATCCTGGTCATGCTTAGATCGTTTCTAAACATAAGCTTTGTTTTTATGCACTGTGATTTGCAAAGCAAAATATTTATATCTTTATGTTTCAATGTATTTTTATCGAATCAGAAAGCCTTAGATATATGCGATCGATTTATTTTTAACAAAAAAATATGGTGTCAGCTCAAAGAAGTAAAATTTACCTACATTTCATTTTCTATATTATCTTCCAAATGCAATTTCTTTCAAAAAAAGGCGGGGTTCTGTTTCATTCATGGTTCATGCTTAGCGGATGGATTTCAAAAGGGATGTTACGAATGTGATGTTCTTCGAAACACATTTGAATGGTCATTTCGAGGAGATGTGAAAGGTAATTTATTAACACATCAGTATTTATAACAGAATACAGTTTTCAATTTGTATTTACCTCTTAGACTAAATTATTGAAAATTTAATTAATATCAAATTAATTTGAACTACAATCAAAGCAAGCAAGACGACGAAAATCAAAACTCACTAGCTTATTTTATATAATAATCTAATATAATATGTTTAGGCTGTAAAGTGGAGGAAGAGAAATCAGATTCGAAGCTGTGGATTATTGCAATATTTTTTGCCGTTTCTCTCCTAGTTGCTATAACTTTACTGTTTCTTTATGTAAAAAAGAAGAAGCAGAGGTAAGTATTTTTTTTAATTAAAAAAAATCGCCATTTTTTCTTCTAAAAAATACTTTAACACCTCTTTAAAGTAAATCTGACGAAAAATTAAAATATCTCTGGAAAAAATACATTTTTGATACATTATTTAACACAATTATATGCACATTATAGATAAATGATTCATATTTATATATGAAGATACTTGTAACGATCAGTATATTCACACTCAGAAGTCCATTCAAGTAATGCAAATCGGGAGCTTAACAAAAACACGGACCTCTAAAACAGTCGGGTGCCACGGAGGACTAAGCATCCCCTGCCGATCATTACATTTGCTACTTGTCATAGTTGAAGAAAAACAGCGCGAAATCCGTCATCAATACAATGTACAAATAATGACCAAACAATTGTATAGCTATAAATTAATGTTCTATGGTTTAGCAAAAAAATTAAAAATCTTACCTCTTTATTTCTTTCAGAGTTATTCATGACAACAGCATGTTGGCTGGACCATCATCAGACATTCCAAAATCTGTTAAATATAATACAAATTATAAATACTGAATCAGAGAAATACATTTTTATTTTGTGGAGAAAACAAATTTTAGTGAAGTTTTGTATCCGGATGTCCAATAAATTAATTATAAAAGCTCACATGGTTGCTTTCTATCAGGTTGAGGTTAGAGGCTGAAAGGAACAAAATATCTGCATGTATCCCTTTCTCTTGAGAGGGAATCAGCGCTACAATGTAGCTGTACTCTGATTGTTCATCAAGATAGTCCGATCCTCCGATTCTTTAAATCAGGCGTTGAAAATACTCACAAAAATATTCCAGAATTCTCTGTTACTTCAAACTTCATCATTAATCATATTCTTCTGGGTGGTATTTAAAGAAAAGCTCTAATATACACGAAATGCGAATGTAAACACTTACATGTTACTTGTATTTTGTGATTGAATATTGATCAATATATTTTAGGATTTAAAAAAATATAAATATCCAGGCAAGTGATGAAAATTGCATGATTTTTATCTAAAACAAAACACTTTATTTCTTTTATTGAGTTCAATCATTTTATAAATGCAAATTGTATAAAGGGTATCCTATTACATGTACTGTAAAACACCATAAATCATTTCTCACATCTACGGCTAGATGGAAAAAACAGAATTTTCCTATATGATGTAATTTGATAGTATATAATATTTATATAGTTCCAATAGCAACTTTTTGTAAGACCGTTGTTAAGACTTCATGAACCTTAAATTCCACTGAAATGCATAAGATGAAAATTGTGGAATAAGAAGATTTCAATTCCAAGGTTCATTTTCATTTGAGTAATTTGAATAAAATGATAAATCAAAGAGGCACCCTTCCTGGCTGAGGATCGCATCACCTTACACGATTGCGTCTCTCTCTCTCTCTCTCTCTCTCTCTCTGCTGTACCTACTTGCCAATAACGTTTATTTTAAATTAAGTCATTGTATTGTTGTGTTTTGATCCTGATAGTGCATCTTAGGTTTAGTCAATTCCAGGTAGAATATGCGTAAGGTGACGTTATTTAACTGGCGAAAGTTTGATGCAAAATCCATCTTTCTTTTTCACAAGTACATAATTGTACAATGTTTAATGACCAAAGGCTAAAGGATGGTTCTAATAATGCCCTCTGATCTCAATTTAGAGATTTTTAGTCTTACCATTGGTATTCTTAAGCTTGTTGGTCTTTGTTTAATTGACAGAAATTTCTCATTTCATATCTTGCTACAAAAATCTGTCCAAATAAAAAGAATTCTTTGAAAATAATTGTTGAAATGAGGAAAAGACCAAATCTTTAGGTTGGTGTAATTCTTCAGGGGGGAAAACAGATAGAAAGTAATGACATTTCAGTTATATCTTTGAGGTGCTCAAACATGATGGGATTTAGGTTCTGGGAGATTTTTCTCCTTCTATAAATACCTTTAAATACTTTCAGACTGAATTTTCATATCATTAGTTTCTACATACATTTTCATAAATAGCAGCAATATTGTTTTACAACGCGAAATGCAATAACGCAAAATGTGATAAGTCCATGCATAGGATTTAACTTCATAAAACATATTTATTATAAATGTGAAACATTGCCACTAATGTCATTATTCAACAATTTGTACTGGAGCCCATTTCTCCACATGTGTCAAAAGCACAAAAAGTTTCTTTTTGAAAGACAAATGTTTGTAAGAAAATGTACATGTAAAGTCGGTATATTATCTAAGGTAGAATATCCTTACCTAAAGCCAGTTTGACTTTTACTTATAAGATTAAAATTCTCTATACATAGTATTCTAAATTTTTATATAAAATGGAGATAAAAAGCTTACCATGGCAACTTAAAATTGTAACTGGGCGATATTTTTTTAGATTTGTTGGGTCGCCATTGGTTTTACAATATCTGTCAGCCATTCGTAGAAAGTTTAGTTTGTAAATATAAAGAAAAATCGTCAGCATGCATATTCGACTTTATGCAAATTTTGTTGAAAAGTTCATTCTATCGACCAAAGAATTAATTATAAAATGCTAACTCACTGTACATATCTTAAAGTTTGTCGCCGTACATGAATTAAAACAATGAGCCATACAAGAAATGATAGTTTTGTTACCTGCTCTACCAGTTGGAACCGATGCATACTGAATTGATCATCTATCAATCTAGCTCTTCTATCTTCTTCTTAATAAAACAAATGTTGGTTTTCCCCCTCAATTGCTTGCAGGTAGATTTCATCTGAAATATTTAATCCATGCATGTAGTCTGACAAAATAAAATGTCTTGAAGTTCCTTCCCATTACTTGTAACAATCGTCAACAAAATATTTACTATTCATGACGCCATCCATTTTCGCTACCTAAGGGTTTCTCATACACTTCCCTCCTCATAAGCTAATGAGGAGAGTAGAGTATTAGACACACTTGGCTATCGAAGATGGACACCGCGCGTTTGAAAGTCCAGGTTTCTCTCAACTTTGGTCCTTTTCAAGTAAGTGTTTTATACCTTTATCATTACTTTTATCACCAATAATGGCGTGTCAAGCAGGACTTTTGTTGTAGGATGAAGAAGAATAGCCTATTAAAGACTTTATATTTTCCTTACATTTATATTGAGCACTATTTGTACGCTGTGGAATCCCAACACAGTCGACATTGCCATTATTATAAATGCCGTGTCTATTTTATAGTTTCCTATTGCATTCAAAAAGAAATGAAAGTTTCACAGTACATACATACATAATACTTGTAGTATGCTTTATTGATATAGATTTCCTTTCCTTTTTGAATAATCTATTAATATTCATTAATACCGCATAGCGGGTATTCTTGGTGGGTGTAAAATTTGCGTTTTGTATGCTTGAATGTATGCCAATATTTTGGCGTAATTAATTTTAGGGGACATAGAGTTTCAGTTCTTTGAACACTAAGAGGAGTACTGACTATTTTAGCAATTAAAATTTTAGAGTACCAGCAAAACGCCAAAATAAGCTAAAATTAGCACCCGCTATACGGTATTGATTGGATGTATATGTACAATGTTTTATGTCCTGATGGAAAATTGTGCACTCGTCACCATGTAATTTTAATGTTTCACGACACTCATGGCCATTGAGCAGTAAAGG